GTACTGATACATTCTACAATATGAATGAACCTTGGAAACATTATGCTAAAAATCCAGTCACAAAATAATACATGTCGTATGATTCCGTTTATATGAAATGTCCAAAATCCCAAATTGGCAAATCTTTACAGACAAAAATTAGATTAGTGATTGCCAGATAATGGAGAGAAGGAAAATGGGGGATGACTGCTAGTGAGTTTGAGGTTCCTTTTTGGGGTGATGAAAATGTTCTAAAATTTTATTGTAATGATAGTTGCATAACTGTTAATGTACGAGCATTTTAGTAAGAACTAAACGCTTTTTAAAAGCAAGCCCTGCAGATATGTTGAGGAAGAGTGTTCTTGGGAAGGGAAAGAAAAGCCAAGAGCAAAGGCCCCGGAGGAAAGGCACGCCTGCTTTATACTAGGAACTGGAGACCTGGTGGCGGAGAGGAAGGGTTATGGAGAGTGTGTGTGTGGGGGGGGGCGGGGGGGGGTGGGGAAACTGCAGTGGAAGAGATCAAAGAGAGACCCATGGCCCAGACCAAGTAGGATCTTTCAACCCCTTTAAGAGTTTGGCTTTTACTCTAGTGAGATGGAAAGTCATTAAGGAGTTTGAGTAGAAGACTTTTGTGTTATGAACTTTTAAGGATCCCTTTGGGATGCCGTATTGCATAAATAAATTGAAGAGGAGACAAGGGCTAAAGTCGGTAAACCAGCTAGAAGGCTACTGCAGTGATCTAGACAAGAGATGACAGAAGTGTGGTCCTGGGTAGTAGCAATGGCAGCGATGGGAGCTATGCTTCTGGACATGTGTTTTAAGACAGAGCTGAACATATGATTTACTATTAACCAGCAAATTTTACAACTCTAAGGTAGCAAATAAGCAAATAGGAAGTTCAATGGAATTGATTCCAAATAACCTTTGTAAATTGTACTTATTGTTTAATAATTTTAAACACCAAAACATTTTATTAAAAGGTAGGAACTCCTTTTTTCCACCTGAGTGGCAAAATGAGGTGGTCAGTAGTATGAATCTGTTGCTTATAAAGGGACGCTGAGTAGACCTATGCTTGCTTGTTTCCCGTGCTTTCATTTATGAGCTGTGCAACTCAGGCAAGCAACTCAGAGGCTCTTTGTTCTCATGTGTAGGATCCTGATGGTGATTAAATGAAAGAATGTGTATAAAGGGTCCAGCTTAGTGCCTGGCACATAATAAATGCACACTCAAATTAGTACATTTCTTTTCCCCTTTCCAATATGCAGTCCTCACTTTAAGTCATTGATAGGTTCTGCACTTTTAAGTGAAATTACATGTAACAAAACCAATCTTACCGTAGGGTAATCGATATAACAAGAGTTAAGTTCCCATGGAACTCATCTTTGTAACAAAATGACGTTGAGTGAAACAACATTCATCAAGGGCCTGCTATAGCTCTCCAGCTCTGCCCAGGAACACTTCCCCAAAACACATTAGAAAATCCAAATCTTAAATGTGCCTTATGTCACTTTTATAATTAAAGAAAAAATGCATTTCAGAAACAGGAGAATAGAAGATAAATATTTTCATGATGCACTTTTCTAGGGAAAATGTTTGCATCTGATAAGAACTATCCTACCTAGTTTATTATCAAAACTAACCATTTTATTAGGATTTTACATTAAAATAGAGTTGCTGTTTTCTAATGTCTCAGAAGTGAAGCTGTCTTCAACAAATTTTATAAAGTTTCATTAATTTTATTCCTCTTGAATAAATATCCTCTTCCTGAATACCACGATTTCAGAAAGGTGAAACAAAGTTTAAGGGACTTGCTGTGCATTTGAGAAGTTTAGCTGGTGATTTTACATTTTGGGAAAAAATTAAGAAAATATGCCAGCCATCACTTAAAAAAATCCAACCCCTAACATGCAGACCTCAACAATTTTCTCTTACATTTATGTGTACACTGCATTCAGATCTCTCCCCAAAGCCCCCCCCACACACACCACATACACACACATACACCATACACACATACACACACACACCACACAAACATACATACACACCACACACACACCACACAAACACACACACCACACAAACACACACACCACACATACACACCACACACACACACCACACACACCACACACACACACACACACATACACACCACACACACACACCACACACACACCACACACACACACCACACATACACACCACACACACACCACACACACACCACACAAACACACACCACACATACCACACACACCACACACACCACACGCACACACTACACACACACCACACAAACATACACACACACCACACACACACCATACACACACCACGCACACCCCCACACACACACCACACACACACACACACACACACACACACACACCACACACACACACACCACACACACACACCACATACCACACACACACACACACACACACACACACACACACACACACACGCTCATAAACACTCTCTGAGGAAATGTAACTCTTATATTCAAAACCATTTTATTTGTCTCAGATCTGGCTTTTTTAGACTGTCAGAACTTCTTATTTCATACTTTTCCTATTCAAAATTTCCTGTTAACTACGTTCATGTTATTCTCAGATAAATTAATGGAAGAAGAAATTAATTTATCTAGTGTTTTTTTTCCTGTACAAAATCAAAAGCTTTTTGGACCGATATTTTGCCCCAGTTTCTAATTTTTGGAACTCTATGCCTTGCTTTCAAGATTATTTTCCACCTGGTCCTTTCTTGACTAATTCTACCCATTTCCTGCTGCGATGGTAGTTCCCACTGTAACCAGAGAGTCTGCTAGCTCCCAATGCACATGACTCACCCACTCCTTCCTTTTAGTCATTTTCCTGACAATATTCTAGCCTGAATTCCTTGTTGTGTCTCTACTTTATGCCACTTCCTTTCTTATTTCAAAACATTTCTCAAAACTCCATGTGACCTGATCCGAGTAGCCCAATAACCTTCTAGAATATGTGGATCTATATTAAAAAGTGATGCTAGTAAGCCCCTTATCACACCAACAGATAGATGATGTTTCCAGCACAGAATCCTGGGGCTGAAGGATCCTAGAAGTTATCTGTGTAACCCCCTCACCTTCCAGATGAAGAGCACCGAGCTCCTGGGAGCTCACCTTGCTTAGGACCAGCGCTCCAGAGCTCCTGACTCCTAGCCCGGTGTTCTTTCTACCACTTCACGCTCTATTTTGTAGTTGCCTCCTTCCCTCACTACACTTCTTTTAATCTGGTTGCTAACACAACTCGAACAGTCGTGTGATAATTCTACCAGAGTGTCTATCTTTCATCTCTTAGTAGCTATTAGTATTTGAAAGTTACTTAACCTGTTTGTCTCATTTCTTCATTTGTGGAATGAGAAGAGTGGTAAGAGTGGTACAGTAGTACCTACCTTATGCGGTTATTGTGAGGTTTTAATGAGATGATCCATGTACCTGGCATATGGTAGATGGTCAATAAATGTTAGTGGTGGCAGCGATGATAATGAATATAGTGAGTACAAAATATTTGTGCTGTGTTGATTTTGTTTGTTCTTTGGGGTCGTGTCCTGGTTTCTCATTTACCTTTTTTCCCCCTTTTAATCCTCACCCTCGGACATGCTCACTGATTTTAAAGAGAGGAATTGAACTTGCAATCTTTTGGTGCATGCGACTATGTCCAACCAACTGAGCCACACCAGCCAGGGCCAGTTTACTCTCTTCCTATGGGAACTCTCACAAATGGCAATTTATACCCTTACTTTCATTCCAGAACAAAGGAAACCATCCATACTAGACCACAAAAGCAGGGAGCAGGTGTGGGCCAACTGGCAGAGATGATAATGGAACAGTAAGTGAGACTTGGTTCTCATCTTCAAACGACAAGAAATTTAGTGGGCAAGTCACATCTAAAACCGCAGGAATAAAGTTTAATTAAGTGCCTTACAGTGCAGCAGCTGATTGGAGAATAAGTTGCTGACCCTAGACTTGAGTGCTCAGGGAAGACTTCTGATGACACGGGACTTGTGCCAAGGCCTGGCGCCTCGGTTAGTGGAGAGGAGAACAGCACGGACTTTCAGAGAGCAGGCTGGGAATGCTCTGCACGCACAGAGGAGAGTGGAGTGGCTAAAACATGGCATCACCATCCATTTCCCACTTACTGGAGTGCAAGGCTTTGGCTCCATCTCAGACCCTCCCTTCTCTCTACTCAGGTCAGCTACTCAGTCCTGCCCTTCAAGGTTTTTTGTTTGTCTTTTATTTCATTTGCACCACCATTTTCTGCATTCAGACTCTTGGCCCCACTCTCTCCTGAAGACTTGCTCAAATATCCTCTTGTCAGTTTGTCTCTAGTTTCTCCTAGCTTCTGCCCACTCCTGGAGCCAGCACCAGATACATCTTCCTGAAACACAGGACTGATGAATGTAACGACAGTTGCAATGCACTGAGCACTCTAGTAATCCAAGAGTAGTGTTATTTATCCCCTTTATAATAAAGGTAAAGGCTCAGATTTAGAGAAGTTAAGTGACTTTTCTAAGTTAAGTGACTGGCCCAATGCTACACAACTGGTGGAAGTTAAATGGAGGATTGAAACCCACCTCATTCCGTCTTCAAGGTCCATGCATTACCCCAAAACACGTGGCCTGCATTACTTCAAATAACCCAAACACTGAGAATAGTGACAGGTTATTTGCTTAGGGTCCCCAATGTCTTTAATCCAGCACCCTTGCGAGCAGTCTCTCCTAAGCCACTCCTCACTAGACATAAACCCATGCCCCTCTCCCAGATTACACCCCACCTGTACATGTAAGCATGCACTTGCACATGTACACACAGTATTTGTGCACCAAACACTTTATGACTTAGTAAGATTTGAATAATTACCAGAAGTTTCACAGTGACCACGCACAGCCTTCTGCCAACTCCTGGCTTCCCTTTGCTCTCTGTCCTATTGTAACGTTAAATGCTCACCTGCTCCAATCTTGACTCTGCAATTAACCAAAAGTTCTCTCCCTTGCCCTGCACAGACCAGTGCTGCCCACACCCTGGCCACAGAGGGATCTCTGCTTTGACCCCAGGGAGAATGTCAATGAGCCGCATGTTCTCCCTCTTCCCACATAGGAAAGAGCAAACCATTTTGCGAAGCGGAGAGGTATTTTTGTAGATGGGATTACAAGTATCGGGAAGCATCAGATTTCAGTCAAAAATATAAGCACTATCTGTATTCTGAGAGCCTTATCTTTAAATTTGTTTACTGGAAAAGTTCAAGAAGGAATATGCTAGGAGATATAAAGATGAATACGTTCCAGTTTTTTCCTACAAATGCTCAGTCTCATGGGGAGATAGACACATCCACAGGTCATAACACTACAGTGTGGTATGTTCTACACTGAGAATAAGCACAGAGGAGATGCATTTAATCAAACCTGGAAGAAGCGGTATTCAAGTTGAGCTTAAAAGATACATAGAGTTAATAAGACACGTAGGGATCAGAAGCACATTCAAGGCAGAGAAAATAGCACAAAGGCAAGAGGAGTAACATGTTTTGTATTGGGAAGGAGCATTTAGTTGTTTAGAAGAAAACATAGGTGTAGAATATGGAAGGATCAGGTCTTGGAGGACCTTGTTTGCCTTGTAGAGCGGTTGGACAATGGCAGAGGACATGGAGAGACAAGCATTCTAAGCAAGGCAATGGCATGGATAGACTTGAGAGAGGCAAGCTGGGGATTAGGGAGGCCTGGAGGCTAATACAGTTGGGCAGATTTAAATAGACTTGACACCGAAGAACAAAGCAGAGAAATGTCCAAGAGGCAGGCTTTGGTAATAGACTGGATGTGGGGACTGATGGAAGGAACAAGGTCAGGATGATTTAGGGGTCCAGTGTATGCTAGTGCCATTCACTAGCCCTGGGAACACAGGTCCCCCCACCCTGATTCTTCCATTGAAAAGAAAGAGGATGAGCATAGTCTTGAGCATGCTGAGTCTTAAGTGCCCATGGACATTATAATGCAGAAGCATTCACTGTCCACTCTCTCACTTCCTTCAGGTCCTTATGCAAATGTTAACTTCTCACTGAAGACTTCCCTGCACACCACTAACCCCAGCCATGAACATCACCTCCTACCTTCCATGCTGTTTTCGCCATAGCAGGTATCACGATCTAACATATTTATTATTTTCTAGTTATATTTTTTAGTTATCTGCCTTTTCTCGCTAACATGTAAGCTCATGGAGGATTCTTTTGTCTATTATTTATGCTACTATGTCCCTAGTATCTAGAAGAATGCCTGACCCATTGTAGTAGGTCAATAAATGTTTGAGAAACGAAGGAATATCAGTGCCAGTAGTTGATTTCATAAGCTGTTCAGGGATAGCCAGAGATAATAACCTCTACGAGTGTCTCCTGCCATTACTTCTAACCCACTCTATGTGCCTCTTCCTTCCTTCCCTCTCCTCTCAAAAAGAGCTTCCCATCTTACTATCCTAATTATTCAGTTTTGTAATTTCACAACAACTGTGGTTCTGATTCCTGGCAAAATAAAAACCTCTGGGAATCTATCCTATAGTTTCCTAAGTGTACAAACAGGCACCCGGGTCAACTCTTGGTTAATTTTCCACCGCAGGGGCATATTGAATTTAAATAAACAAGGAAGTGTGCTGTGTTTGGAATCTGAGACATTGGTCTGAAAGCTTTCCATCACAACCAGTGGAAAGGAGGAGCCCATTGAAGCAAAATGTGAAAATTATCTTTTAAATCATGGAATAGCTAAAAGGCTATATGATTTTTTGCGTCTTTACTTGTGCTTGTTTCTTTCATCTGTTTCAGAAGATGTGGAATTCCTTTTTCCGAAATGAATGCGTGTGCCTGTGCAAATTGATTTCATGTCCTCCTGGCCACCCTGTGACCCTCTTGACCCCCTGCCTGGCTTGTCTCGATTCTTTTCTAATGGCGGTCCTTGCCTCCCATCTCTGTCTCCCCACCAAGCAGTACTCATACTGTTTCCAAAAGGATATTTTTGGCATATGACGGATTATGTTACCTTATACCTGCATTGATTTTATGGAAATTATCTTCATACGTGTTGATCTTAACTAGAACATGAACTCTTAGAAGGCTAGTATCACTTTATACCAGTGACTAGTATGGCACCTGTCACATTATAACTCTGATAAAACAATCTTGTTTTCCATTTTCTATGGAATAAAGAACAAACTCACTTAAGTGTTATTCCAAGTCCTCTATAATTTCACTCAACCTGCTTAAAAAAAAGCTCCTCCTATTTTATGCCTTCCATACTACCCAATATATAAAGCAGAGTATTCTTGGGAATGAGAGACATTTGGCAAATCTAGGACTTTTTGGTTTGTTTGTTTGTTTGTTTGTTTGTTGTAATCACCAAGTAGCCTGGATAACAGATATCCCTCTCCCCATTTTTGGCACTCATATCCCTAATTGAATTTCCCCTGACCTTAAACTTCACTCCACCCTGAGCCATGATGAAGCACATTTGGACGTTGCTTGATAATTTTAAAAGTTGAAAAATGTTTGCTTTCAGGCCATGACAAACCCCTCCAATCAAATTGGTCTCATAAGGTGACCCTGCCCTTACTGCTGCATGCTTGCCCTTTCTTTAGCTCATGGTGAATGTTCATGTTTGTACTTGAGTCATGTTGCTCCCTTTGCCTTGCATTCTACCCCTGACCCAGCTATTCCTTTCCTGGTAAAACCTGTCCAAACCCTATTCATCTTTTCAACACAATTAAATAGCTGCCTCCTTTTTACATACTTTACTACTCCCCTATTAGCAATAATTCCTTCATCTTTTGTGTTCCCAAAGGGCATTAACTATATATTTTTATTGTGTTTTTTTTAATCTTACCTCTCAGTTTGTTCTGAGCTCTGGTGGAGAAGAAAGGGCTTCTTCTTGGGATCCCTTCATCTTGTCTTTTCTCCATTGTTTATTCGTCTTTTAGAGCTGAGACCATGTCAGATCCAATGTGTATCTAATGCATGCATCTGGCTCAAGGATGAACACACGGTCGGTGCTCCTTGGATTGAATTAACAAAATATGCATATGAGGACGTGAAAGCTGTGCTGAAGTAGAGAAATGATGGGTTGTCCTGCTGCAGTAATGAGCAGCAGCGTTTACTTGTGCCATTTCTTTTTTACTTCTGCATTAAGTAGCATCGGTGAGCCAGTTACTCTGAAGCAATCTGTGTGTGCAGTAATTGACAGGTGCCCAATTAACAACTGATCTGTGGAGTTCTTGGGTGCAGAGAACTATGGATCTGACTCAATCCTGAAGGCCCCAGGTTTTACCAACTTGTGGGCACAGAAGAGACCACATTAACATTAATATAGGGTGGATAAAAGTAGGTTTACAGTTGTACTATAAAGAAATAATACATTAATTAATAAATAGTAAATCAAGAATTAACTGTGTACTCACAACTGTAAACCTACTTTTGCTCACCCCTGTATTTGAATTTCACCAGCGTCTGGTCCCCACCTGTCACTAGGGATCCAGCCTCCTCTTGCTATTTTGTGTATTCTCCAAAAGGTTGGATGAAACAGGTACTCAGGAATGAGTCCTGTTTGTGTTCTTTTGATCTAACCATCTCAAAAGCACCGTAACCTCTTTTTCTGCTGCCACTGCCTTGCATGAAACACGTGCATAGATGTTGAGGATGCTGACTCCCAGTGCTCTCAAATTCTCTAATCCTTGAGTTGTCAGAGCAGTGCTGGGTCCCGCACTGCCTTTTGTCACTAGGGAAACCATGGAGAGAGAAGAGCTGGGGCCAGAAGGTTGTCTGCACTTTGGAGAATGGTTACACCTTGTGAATGGGGAGGAGAGAGAAGGAGGAAGATGACCGGTGAGAGACCAAATCAACAGAAGTTTCCAGAACTGGTTTGGCAGAAAAGCTCAAGCATGTCGAAAACTAATTTCTTTTTCTTTAGCAATTTGTTTTTAAGGATGTCATCAAGAGATCCCATAAAGATTTATCTTATGGATGTTTATTCCCACATCGTTTATATGAGTCACTTCCCGAGAGCAATTTCGGTCAAGTGGTGGAGTAGAGGTCAGGCCACAGTGCTGAGTGAGTGAGGAGGAGATAGAGGCAGTGAAATAGAGGAGAAAAGTGTGACAGAGCCTTGAGGAGAAGGGCAAAAGTCCCCAGCCAGACAGAAGGGAATCCAATGTGACTGAGCAGAGTGAACGAGGGGTGAACAGAGGTGAGGATGGAGCAGGGTTACTCAGGACTTCATACGCCAGGGACAAGGGGCTCAGTAAACAGGTTATAACCCAGCAGTCAGCTCGGGTTTTACTACAGCCATGTTTTTCCTAGTTACACCCATAACCCTGCAATAAACAAGGATGCAGATGTCCCCATGTTTTAGGTTATTCTCTTTGGAGAAAGTTCCCGAGTTAGAATGACTGAATAAAAGATGTGAAAGATGTGTTGTTTGTTTCTCTTAAAGGTGATTTGTAGCAGCACTATTCACAATAGCTAAAAGATGGACACAAAGCAAATGTCTATAAATGGATGAGTGGATAAATGAATTGAGGAACATACATATATACCATGAAATGTATAAAAAGGAATGAAGTGCTGATACATGCTACAAGGAGATAAACTTCCAAAATGTTATGCTAAGTGAAGCCAGACAGGAACAGATGAGATATTTATGACATCGTTGATATGAAATACCCAGAATAGGTGAATCCATAGAAACAGAGAGCAGACTAGTAGTTGTCAAGAGCTGGTGGGGGAAGAGGCAGATGGAAAAACCGTTTAAAGGTTTCAGGACTTTCCTCTGGGAAAATGAAAATGTTTGGCACTCCATATACGTGGTGGTTCCACAACATTGTGAATGCACTAACCTGTCAGAATTATACACTTGAAATGGTTCATTTTATTTTATGTGAATTCTACCTCGATAAATAAAAATTTTAGAGTAATCTATGTTTTCAATAGTGCTTTCTAAAAGGGTGGTCACAACTTACTCTAGTGCCAGCAAGATACAAGAGTTCCAGTTTTTCCTGGCCAGTCTGGCTCAGCCACTGAGCGTTGACCCATGAACCAGGAGGTCATGGTTCAATTCTAGGTCAGGGCAGATGCCTGGTTTGCAGGCTTGATCCCCAGTGAATTGGTACAGGAGGCAGCCACTTGATGAGTCTCTCTCATCATTGATTTTCTATCTCTCTCTCTCCCGCTTCCTTTCTCCCTGAAATCAATTAAAGAACACATATTTAAATAAAGAGTTCCAGTTCCACCATATATACCTGCCTGGATATTTGCAAATAACATTTCAGTTATAAATTCCCATTTCTTTGATTATTTGTGTCTCAGTCACATTTCCTCTTCTTAAAATTATCTAATTTTGTCTTTTATTTATTTATCTATTAGGTCTTATGCTTCTGTTATCATTTTGTACATACCTTGTAAAATAAACATATCATCTCCCTTTCTATTCTATTTGTTGTGCATATTTTTTTTCACAATCTGTCTGCCTTTTTTAAAAGTCTAAATTTTTTTTTAAATTAAATCTTTATTGTTCAGATTATTACATTTGTTCCTCTTTTTTCCCCCCCATAACTCCCCTCCTCCCAGTTCCCGCCCCACCCTCCGCCCTCACTCCCCACCCACTGTCCTCATCCATAGGTGCACGATTTTTGTCCAGTCTCTTCCCGCATCTCCCACACCCCTTTCCCCCCCAAGAATAGTCAGTCCATTCCCTTTCTATGTCCCTGATTCTATTATGATCACCAATTCATTCTGTTCATCAGATTATTTATTCACTTGATTCTTAGATTCACTTGTTGATAGATGCATATTTGTTGTTCATAATTTGTATCTTTACCTTTTTCTTCCTCTTCCTCTTCTTAAAGGATACCTTTCAGCATTTCATATAATCCTGGTTTGGTGGTGATGAACTCCTTTAGCTTTTCCTTATCTGTGAAGCTCTTTATCTGACCTTCAATTCTGAATGATAGCTTTGCTGGATAAAGTAATCTTGGTTGTAGGTTCTTGGTATTCATCACTTTGAATATTTCTTGCCACTCCCTTCTGGCCTGCAAAGTTTCTGTTGAGAAATCAGCTGACAGTCGTATGGGTATTCCCTTGTAGGTAACTGAGTTTCTTTCTCTTGCTGTTTTTAAGATTCTCTCTTTGTCTTTTGCTCTTGGCATTTTAATTATGATGTGTCTTGGTGTGGTCCTCTTTGGATTCCTTTTGTTTGGGGTTCTCCGCGCTTCTTGGACCTGTAAGTCCATTTCTTTCACCAGGTAGGGGAAGTTTTCTGTCATTATTTCTTCAAATAGGTTTTCAATATCTTGCTCTCTCTCATCTTCTGGCACCCCTATAATTCTGATGTTGGTATGCTTGAAGCTGTCCCAGAGGCTCCTTACACTATCCTCGCATTTTTGGATTCTTTTTTCATTTTGCTTTTCCGGTTGGGTGTTTTTTGCTTCCTCGCATTTCAAATCATTGACTTGATTCTTGCGCTCCTCTGGTCTGCTGTCGGGAGTCTGTATAATATTCGTTATTTCAGTCCGTGTATGCTTAATTTCTAGTTGGTTCCCCAATATAACATCGAGGGTCTCATTAGTTTTCTTGTAGATCTCATTAAGTTTATCAGCAGCTTCTAAACAGTTCTTGAGAGACCTTAAAAGTGTGGTTCTGAACTCTATATCTTCCATTGACAATTTTGTCCTGTTTCTTTGTCTCCGCATTTTGTTATGCTTCCTTGGTGCACCCCCTAGTGGTCTTTGTTCGCAGTCTTATAGTTAAACTTTGATTGTTGTAGCTAATACCAGGGAGGGTTTGACCTCCAGGCCAAGTGGCTATGAGAATCAGCTGTGTCAGCAGTGAGAGAACTTCTGTCCTCTAGGGAGGTGCTAATCTGGCGTTTGCCTGAGGCTATCTGGCAAATGCCTCAGTGCAGGGCTTGGGCGGGGCGGGTCGCACAGGATCAACAGGGTGGGCCGGAGAGAGCAGTTATGGCGGCTCTCAGTCCTGTCCCCAGGGGCTCTGCCTCTCTGAGTCCCAGCACCCGCTGCAAAGCTCGGAGAGAAAGCTGCACTCGCTCTGACCGAAGCCAGACCATCCGGCTTCTCCCGTTTGAGTCTGGGTCCCTAAAGTCTCTCCCGTATCTGGAGCTCAGAGTCTGCGACTCCCTCCCGATTGAAAACGCCAACCGCGCCCTCCGCCGCCAGCCCGCTCCACACACTCCGAACCTCAGAATTTGACTTCAGCACTGCGCCTCCTCTGAGTGTCCGTATGCGTTTCTCTTTCCTCCTAGTTGTAGGACTTCCACTCAGCCAGCGTTCCTGTGGTTCTGGGTGACGTCCGATCCGTCTTTTAGTTTCACTTTTGAAGTAGTTGTTCAAAGCAGCAAACTCCGGCATTAACCTATGCCGCCATCTTGGTTCTCCCTCTCCCCAGCGTATTTCAAAAGTCTAAATTTTTTAAAACATTTGTATACTACTAAGCCTGTTTATCTTTTTCCATTTTGATTTCTTCTTTTACCTCTAGGTGGAGAGATTGATTCTTTTCAAGTGGTCTGACTCAATAGCTAATTCTATTTTTTCTAGCTTTTGTATAGTTTGATCTATCAAGAATTTATTTTTAATAGTTATAGGTTTTAATAAGGGTTTCTATCAGCAAATGAGTTCCAATTTTTTTCTTCTTACCCAAATCATATAATTTTAAGCATGGTTTCTCCAAATTGAGAAACATGCAGACCACTTGTAAAGGGAAAAAATTGCCTTAGGTTGTTAATGATGACTTAAATTGTTTTTATTATGCTGTTTTCTGTTATGAATTGAATTGTGTCCCTCCGAATTTATATATTGAAGTCCTAACCCCTAGTACTTCTGGATGTGGCCTTATTTGGATAGAGAGCTGTTACAGATGCAATTAGTTAAGAAGAAGTCATACTGGAGAAGGGTGGGTCCCAGATCCAATATGACTGATGTTCTTATAGAAAGGGGAAATTTGGACACAATCATGCAGGGAGAACACCGTGTGAAGACTGGAGTGATGCTGTCATCGCCCAGGAACTACCAGAAGCTGGGAGATACCTGGAACAGAGCCTTGCCTGGTGCCTTCAGGGTGAGCACGGCCCTGCTGACACCTTGATTTTGCACTTCTAACCTACAGATTGTGCAATATTAAGTGTCTGTTGTTTAAGGCATCCAGTGTGTGGTATGTTGTTATGGCTGCTCTAGCAAAATAACACATTTACATATATACAAATTAATACTCATTATACTCTCCATAAATCTACCATTCTTTTACAGCGACCAAAGCAAAAGAAATTTACAAAATCTGTTTAAAATGATAAAATCAGCAAGCTTGAAATGAAC